TGGTTTTCTTTTCATTACAAAGTTACTGCCTATAGCATTAATGGATTGAATTCATAAACGACATAATTACTTAACTAATGGATTCGATCTCATCGTTTGTGATATATCGTGGGTTTTTTTAAACCAAAATTACTGAGAAAGTATTTTTAACAGTTAATATTTCTATATTATTGACTTAGTGCATATAATACCAGTATTGAAAATGTTGGATATCTTCATAATTAGATTTGTATCATCACTATAGTCTATAGTATTCATCAACTAGTATCACAAGAATCTTGAAAATCTTTTCGAATTTTTTTCAGACTGACCTTGTTCGAACTCTTCAGGAGTATAAGCGGCGTCGGCATCACCATAATCAGTCTCAGCATGCAAAATCGCCCTCCGCATCTGAAATCTTAAGCGACGCTGTGCCGTCAGAGGTGGGGTCAATAGATAATGAGATTGCGGATTTGCTATTACGTGGACACTCTGCTTGGCGGCGCGTTCTGCTATCACTTGATTGTTCGCTGATTGCACTCAATATCCTCGCCGGACCCGACATGCCTCGCCCTGTCCTGATGGAAGAATTAATTGAGGGCATTGTCAATGCCGCATATCGACAGTTGGTCGCAACCATTCTGCCTGCGCCCGGTAAAATTATTTTTTTTGCTATTAAAGTCAGGTTGCTTTACAGGCTAATTGGAAAAAATAGTGGATCAAATGTGACCAAAGTATAATATTTCGTTTTAAGTAGCTTTTCTAGACTACCAGTAAATAAGATCTATGAGTTATGTTCACCCTATTTCGTTTAGGGTGATGAAGTACTGATAGTTGAATTTTCCCGCAATGATACGAGTACAGCTGACGTTTTCATTGAATTTCACAGTCTTGCTCTCCTAAAAGGTGTTATCACCCATGGTGGACCGCAGTTTCGACGTCGCATAGGTCTTATCAACACCCCCAGCGGGAGTAGAACTATGACGATGTAGCGTGTAATCTAAAAACTTTTATTTTATTATTTGTTATTATTTTATTCTTCTTAAAGAGTTAAATGCATATTTAAAAATCTTATTTTCTTATGCATCCATTTCTTAATCACCCAATGCTTTACCTGTACATCTATACTCCATACTTTCATAGTCCTATTTCTACCTTCAAATCAGATTCAATGTTCAATCCAGGAAGCTAGACAATGTCATTCCCTTATCCATCTCAATCTACTTATTATTTAAGTAAAAGCTAGTTCATTTATTTTATTTCAGAGTTAAAAAATTATTGGTCCTTGTTCTTTTACCTATATACATTAAAAATATTTTCGCCGACCATTCGTGCATTCACTATACTTCATTATGCTTGTGTGATATAGGACTAATTTATTTAAATCCAAGTTGCAAAAATATGATGGAACCAGCGTTCAGAGCGATGCCAAATCTGTGCTCACCCTGAGGCATCTTTTATTTTCATGTTGTTGTCAGCTCTACTAGTGACTAACTAGTATGTACTTATCTTATGTCTTAAGCTTTTCAAAAAGTGTTTATTTGACCTGTACTTCTGGGATAATCATTATTAACTCTTCAAAGGTGTAATACTAGCATTAACGCCTTTTGGCCCAATATCTGTTTCCCAAGACATTGTTTTGTCCTCCATATTCTTTGCGATGCACTTTAAAGAGATGCGACTCAGGAAGTCGTTGATGCTTGAAGCTTCAACTTGTATCCTTTCCCTTTACTTTCCTGAAATATACTTTAAATCCCATTTAGGATATCGCTATTGAACAATTTATCATCTGATTTTTTATGTCAACCATTCGATGAAACTGTTGCTATTCTAATCGAGAAAGTCAGAGAAGATTAATTAACACAAGACTAAATCAGGTTCTAAATTTTTGGTAAAATTGGTCACAGAATACTTTCTCTTGAGTTCATAACAGAGGAAATTTTTGTATCACATTTTCTTTATTGTTTTTGCCGTATCCTTTGGAGTTAGGTTCCTTTTTAATCCATGAATATTATATATTACTTACCATTTATCTTTGGTTCGCTGAACTAATCAATTGAACGAATGGAGTTTCTGTCTTGTACATGTTAGATTCAATTTTCGGATGGTTGTCTAGGCTTGAACTTCGCTCTATTTTAGCAAGAGGTGGTTGAATTATAACATCGGTAAACTCACAAGCAAGTCTTATAATATTGAAGTGAAATAATTTTTTATCTATCGCTATTATTTTTGTATGCTTTTCCCTAATTTCAATAATGCTTTTATAGGAAAATTAACATCAATAAGCTTAACTCCTATAGATAATCTTTGGATTTACGATTATAGTAAAATCACTGTTCCAAATCTAAACATAATTTCGTCTTAAATTAACGGTAAATTGTACGCGAGTCAATGTAAAATTCCTTCAATCTCTATTCTACTACCGTTCAATATTGAGCTTTCATCAGAACAGGACAATGCCTTACGGTAATTTATCAAACAAAAAGATACGAAATCTGGTCGGCTGCAAACCTACCTACTTCCTATAGCCTAATTTTGTCCACTTAATGAGACATCCCATGATTTATTTGGATACCCTATGCTTTCCCTAAATGTTTGCTGAAAAAAAGGTCAAACAACTTTTATGCAACGGAAGAAGACTGCGACCACACAAAAGGCCGTACCATCTTGGTATTTCTACCTTCGAATAATTAATTAATTAAGCATTATGCTGTAGCGAAAAATTTTCATTTTCGTGTAACTTTCATTTTGTTTAAAGAGTTGAAGGGAAGTGATTCTGATTTGGCTCCACTGGAAACAGAAAGATTACCTTTGGACGTTGGCTACAGATTTGTGCAAGACACCGTCCCGCCAACCCGACAAATCTGTTTTGGGATTTTATCTTTAATGTTAAAGACATTATCAATGCAACTACATCGAAATTTACTAGCCTAACATCCTCTGAAATATTAAGAATTTTTACTGAATATTGCAAAAAACTGACAAATTTCCTTAGTTTTATTCATAAATAACGTGACATTTTATGTATCACGCTTCCTTTATTATTTAA